GCAACCTCTGTGGAAAGCAATATGGAGATAACTCAAAGGGATACAAGTAGATCTACCAGTTGATCCAGCAATCCCATTACTGGGCATCTGCCCAAAGGAACAAAAGACATTCTATAAAAAACACATCTGCACTTGAATGTTTATAGCAGCACAACTCACAATTGCAAAGATGGAGAAATGACCCAAGTGCCCATCAATACATGAGTGGATTAATAAAATGTGGCATATGTATACCATGGAGTTCTACTCAGCCATAAAAACAATGGTGATCTAGCACCTCTTGTATTATCCCGGATAGAGCTGGAGCCCATTTTACAAAGTGAAGTATTCCAAGAATGGAAAAACAAGCACCACATGTACTCACCATCAAATTGGTATTAACTGATCAACACTTAAGTGCACGTATAGTAATAACATTCATCAAGCGTTGGGCTGATGGGAGGTAGGAGGAGGGGATGGGTGTATTCACACCTAATGGGTGCCGTGTGTACTTTGTGGGGGATGGACATGCTCGAAGCTCTGACTCGGGTGGGGCAACGGCAATATATGTAACCTAAACATTTGTACCCCCGTAATATGCTGAACAAAAGGGGTGTGGGGGTGAGAGGAAATTTCCCCAGTGCCTGGGAAGTTTTGCTGAAAGATCAACTCACAGTAAGGCAGATTAATAAGAAAAACACATTTATTTACTGTGCACATGGGGAGAATCACAGAGTGACTACCCAATATCCCAGTAGGGGTCCAGAAATTTTTTATTTATTTATTTTTTATTTTTTTATTTCAGCATATTATGGGGGTACAGATGTTTAGGTTATGTGTGTTGCCCTTGGTTCCCCCCCACAAATCCGTGTTTCAAATATGTCCATCCTTCGAGTGGTGCGCATTGCACTCCTTGTGTATACAAATACCCGTCCCCTCCTCCCTCCTCCCCCCTCCTCCTGCCCCCCTCCCCCTTCCCCAGCATCCAATTGATGTTGTTCTGATACGTGCATTTATGTGTTGATTAGTTAATACCAATTTGATGGTGAGTACAGATGGATTCCGTTCTTCTGCTCTTGTGGTGTCCCACTTTGGATAATGGGCTTAAGTTTAATCCAGGAAAGTGTAAGAGGTGATAAATTTATTGGCCTCATTTTACAGGGGAGTTGGTGATGAGGAATATAGCTAATCTGTTTAGGGACAATAAATGGTTACTAGGGAGGACAAATAGGTACTTGGGAGAATGAATGGATGGGGAAACAGATTGACTTGCAAATGATTCTCTTTGAAAATTAAATTAACCTGAGAGATAGGTATTATATTTAAAATGATTTTGGCCAGGTCTGGTTGCATTCTTGATCTTCCTCCTGTAATATACTGAGACACTAGGGAGGGGACGGGAAGCCAGGTTGTTCTTTTGATGGGTGTGTCTGGTTTTATGCAGATAGAGGGAGAGCTCCTTTCAACTACTGTTGATCTCTAAGGGCCTTTAATTCAAAATACACTTTATACCAAGGAGTCATATTTGGGGGTGAAATTTCCTGAGTTCCTTCAAGGGGAATAAGAGAGGCTAAGGGGCAAAGAGGGGAGGAACTGTTCTAAATAATTGGCCAGGGAGGAGCTCTCAGAGATCCACGTAAGATCTCTGCAAAAATCTAGAGAAAGGGCATTTGGAAAGAGGACCTATCAGTAGAAAAGCTCTGTGACAAACAAACATGGCATGTTTTAGGAAGCTCAGGAAGGCCAGTGTGGCTGGCTGAGAGTGAAACAGAGTGGGGAATGGCAAATGAGGTGGGAGAAGTTAGGGGAGGGGGACAGGCCATACAATGCCTACAGGGAAAGGAGTTGGATTCTATCTCAAGAACAATGAACAGGAAGACATTGGCAAATTGTAATTAGGGAAGTAGAATATTCTGATTTACTTTTAATCCCTCCAGTGCTATATCCCCAGCTCCCAGGGAAAAATCAGGCAGGTGCAGTCCTCTAAAGACTCAAGTATGTAACACCTTTTGTTAAAGATAACACCGCTGAAAATGAACAACTCTAACAAAATACCTTTAGCCTGCAGGCCCTGGGTAGCTTTCCTTCATTGTAGGCTAAAGTTGAAAATGACGTTTCTTCCTTTTCTAAAGCTTTATACCCTTTTATGTGAGGGGGATGCAATTTCCACAGCGCCTAGCAGTTTGCTTGACAGACCCTAGGGACAGACCAAGATACTTTACACAGGGAATTGATCCTTGATCCTTATCCTCCATTTGCATCTCACCTGAACATCTCTTCCATCTGCTTCTCTTATCCTAGAATATCCTATCCCTTGCCATTGAAGAAGCTCAGGAAATTTCATCCCAACATATGACTCCTTGGTATAAAGAGTATTTTGAATTACAGGCCCTTAGAGATCAACGGGCCTTGGAAGGGGCTTCCCCTCTCTCTGAATAACCTGAGGGACCCATAGAAAGAACAGCTGACTTCCCTTCCCCTCCCTGTCATCTCACTATACTGCAGGAAAGGAAATTCTTTCTCAAGCCCGTGTATGAATTCCCACCCTAACAGTTACTTTCTTTTTCCTATTTTCTAAAAACTAAACATTCCAAATGTGAGCAGCTCGGCCAAACTGGATATTATTCAATTTAAATTAATTTAAACAATCTCACAGTTAATGTTCCCATATAAGGCACACCTTTGACAAGAAATACCATGACTGAATTTAAATTTGGATAATTTAGAGTTCTTTTTGAAGTTACATTGCAGCTTTAATTCAAAGAAATTTCTTTTACCAACATGTTTGGACACAATAACTAAGAGGGAAAAATCTACACTGTGGCCGCATCAGGTATGTGTATGTTTGTGCTAGAAGGTAGAAGTAGCAGCGTCAGAAACTGAATGGTGACAACAGCCACCTGCACACAGCAGCTGGGCTGTCACAACGGCAAAGAACCAGGACTGGGACAAACAAAGAGTTATGGGAACTTTTTTCTCTTATCAACACCTGATAATGGACAAGCCCTGACTCCCCACCCCCCAAATATTAATAAAAATAAAGTCGCCAGCCTGCCCCTGCTCCAGGCCACATAGTCTGCAGCATCCAGATACTAAACAAATCAACCTTTTCTTCTGCTGGCCAATTGTTAATCCCCCAGGCACAATGACGATGTGGCTGCCTCAAAACCATTACAATCAAGACAATAAAACTTCGCATAATCTGAACAGTACAGAAACTCATCAGCACTATTCACGTCCCCACCCCCACACACCTAGAAACATGCAATGGTAGAGAACAGCGGCAGCAGCCCTCACAGGGGCTGGGGTGCAGTGTGAAGGGAGGGGTACCAGTCGCTTATGGCCAACTGCTTCACGGCATTTGAAAACAAGCAACGCTGTGTCCTAATACCTTTCAAAGCCTAAGCTAGTGTGACTGGCAGCCGAGTGATCTTGAGATTGCGTAGAGTGTGGGTCACATACCTTACTTTGCCTTACATATCCAAGTTAATGCCCCCAACTGCCACTAGGTCAGGATTTCTTATCAACTACCTGCATCACAATCTCATGCACCACTTATTAAAAAATGCAGATTCCTGTGCCTGAAAATAAATACTATCTTTATGCACATTTAGGTTTGAGGACTTCTGCTGTAAAGCAATGTTTCTCAAACTGTGGGTCATGATGTGCTTAGTGAAGAAATCAAATTAATGGGTCCTGACCAACAGCTGATTTGTTTTTAGTGAAGTAAAAGAATATTTGTTAATAGAGCACATTGCAGTTAGTAAGGGTAATCATTGTTTTCAGGAACTTATTTCAGTTATAGACCAATGTGCCATGCTATAAAATGTATTCCTTAACTGTGGATCCCACGCAAAGTCTGAAAAACATGCTCCTAGAGGGAAAAAGAAAAACAATATTATTGTACTTAATGTTTATTTTCCATGTTCTACTCCTAACTCTAAGCTGATTTTAGTTCAAGTACAGAAATATCAAGACAGATCTAAGAAACGGTGTCACTGAATCCTAAAGTGATGAGGCAAAGCCCAAGTGAGGAAGGGGATGAGCCCAGGGCCCTCACTCCACTCCTGCCGAGATCCTATCATGGAGCTGGGGACAAAGGATGGGCCGAAGAAGTTTGCACAGCTTTCCTCCGGCTGTCCTGAGGCGGGGGAAAGAACTTGTAGCCACTCCTGTCACAGAAGAATGAAAACCTTCCTCACAGAGTCAAGACTGAGCATTGAGGGCTAAGGAAGTGAGGGATGAAGGACAGAACTCAGGCTCGGCCCTGGGGTCCTGCGGCAGTGTCTAGGTAAAAGGAAAGCCAGGGAAGGGTGACCCCAATCTCACTGATCACAGGGCCTGACGCCCCCAGAACCAGAAGAGAACCAGTGAGCATCAAGGGTCCCACCTCAGAGTCAGTGAGGTGATTTACTCAGCTTCTCAAGTCCAGGTACCCCGCACCTCTAATGCTCTGTGAGGAAATGGAGGTCCGGGAAGCCGACACCACCCTTGCGCGATGCTCTGGGACAGGGAGCCCCATCTTGTATATCTCCCTGGAAGAAAGGACCAATGGAGGACTGGCAGAAGAAAAAGACCAGCAGCTGTCCTGTTAGCTTTAGACTCAGCAAACGCAAGGGACTCACCCCAGAGAGCCTCCCAAGTTACAAACGAGCAAATTAACAAGGAAGTCAGACAGTGACAACCCCAGCAAAGCTCAGGGGCGGTTCCATTTGCCATTCACAGAGGCGGGGCGTGGGTGGGGGCTGGGGGTGTCAGACACACACCAAACACAGAAAAACAGAGGACACTCACTCACTGGGCTTTTTAAACTCTTGCAGTAAGAGTGCAAACACAGGTGGCAGTGCCCGACAAGAGGTCCGAAATAACAGGTGTTCCCCAGGCCCCAAGACGGAAACGAGCAGCCACTTGGGGAAAGCCTTGCAAAGGAGGTCGGCGGCCGAGGAGGGTGATTTGAAGCAGTGAGAGGTCGGGGCTGCCCCTGGGCGCCAGATCCCAGGCGCTACTCGCCGGAGAGGCCCCTACCCTCCCTGGGGCAGGACAGAGCTCGCGCCCCCGCGTGGCGAGGACGCTGGGGAGGCGCCCGAACAGCCTGGCAGGACCTCGGGTTCGGTTACCGCCGATCTGGGGTCTGCGAAACGCTGCCGTGAGTTCCGCAGTGGCGCCCGGGACCGAAGTGTCTCCAGTGCAGACGCGGAGACACGAGGAAGTGGCGGGGGCGCCTCAACCCCGACCCTGACCCCACGGAGTCCGAACCCGCGGGGACTATGACGACGAGGAAGCAGCGACCAGGTCTCGCAGCCCCCATCACCAAAGCCCGCACCCCAGACTTGCCGGCTCCCCACACTGGTCCCCGGCCCTAACCAAGGTCCGCGCCATCGGGGCTCCCTCCTCTGGCCGCCGCGCCGGGGCAGCAGTGTCCATAAACCACCGGTCACGTGGCCCCGGTGCCCGCGGCCCCAGGGGACCCGGGCAGACAGGAGGCTGCGCGCCCTCCGCGGGACCGGCTGGGCGTCCCCTGCAGCTGCCGTGCTCCCGCTCGCCCACAAGGCAGCCGGCCAGCCTGGCTCGGCTGGGGTGCGCAGCAGCAAAGGACGGCCCCGCACTTACATCGCATTGCTATATCCTCATACGTTTATATATGATTATTTTGCGTTACTTACTTACCAGAAAGTAAGTTCCATGAAAGCAGAGGAATTCCTTTTATATTAAGAACGTTAGTCGATCCTTAACCCTGCCTGTGTTACACAGAGCATTCATTCAATACATGCGCGTGTTGAATAAAGGAATGTCTGAAAGCGTTTATGTAGACTAACAGTATGAATTTTAAGGCTTGCTGAGGTCACACTTTTCCTCACTGAGCTTATTCACTTCCAGCTTTTTTTTAAAGTTGTGTAATATGATTTAATATACAAATACATTTGAAATTATTAAAACAAGCTAAATAACATATCCATCACCTTACAAAGTTACCATTTTTTGAGAAAACTTCATATCTACTCTCATAAAATTTCTAGCATTTGATTTAAAGTGAGAGACATGCAACTCTTCCTTTCACATGAACAGTTAGAAGCCATTGTAGGGTTATCAGCTGGCTCCAAAACACTCGTCTCCAGCCTATTTGACCACACTTTCTAATTCTGAAAACATTTTGATCGCAAGCTACTTTTTATTTATTTTCCATTGGGTTGTTGTTAAAACATATAATCTTGTTCTACCATGACTAATATACATATATTGTGTTAATTCATTTTATATTAGTAATTGCTTTTTTTTGTTTGTTTGTTTGTTTGTTTTGAGACAGAGTCTCACTCTGTTGCTCTGGCTAGAGTGAGTGCTGTGGCGTTAGCCTAGCTCACAGCAACCTCAAACTCTTGGGCTCAAACGATCCTCCTGCCTCAGCCTCCCAAGTAGCTGGGACTACAGGCATGCGCCACCATGCCCAGCTAATTTTTTCTATATATATTTTTAGTTGTCCAGATAATTTCTTTCTATTTTTTTTAGTAGAGACGGGGTCTCGCTCTTGCTCAGGCTGGTCTCCAACTCCTGAGCTCAAACAATCTGCCCACCTCGGCCTCGCAGAGTGCTAGGATTACAGGCGTGAGCCACCACGCCTAGCCTCTTGTTTTAATATATTGTATTAATGAGTACAATATAATTTTTAAAAATTTTGAGGACGATAACACATGAAAATGAGTAAAAGCATAAATTCTAATATTTTAAACACCCCAGACTACCTTTCAGTGCATTCCAGTGTTGGATTCACCCAAATATGGAGAGCATTGCAGGACTACTGCTGAATTCCATTTAAACAATCAAGAAGGGTTCAGTGATCAACTGAAAATATAAACAAACTCAGGAAGCTTAAACATTCACCAGTTAGAACAAGAGTTCAGGAGTTCTGGTCCCTAATCAAGTTCTTCATCTAGCACCCACACTGCCTTCTCAGGGCTGCCTGCATGTCCTTATTCCGCAGACTGTAGATGATGGGGTTCAGGGTCGGGGGAACCACTGTGTAGAACACTGACAGGAAAACATCCAAAACTGAAGGGGAATTTGAAATTGGCTTAACATAGGCAATGCTACCAGATATCATAAAGAGTGCCACAACCACAAGGTGTGGAACGCAGGTACAAAATGTTTTTGATCTGCCCTCCTTAGATGGAATCCTCATGATGACAGAAAAAATGTACATGTAAGAGAGAGTAATTGAAACAAAGCAGATTATCACAAGACTTGTACCCAAAACTGTGATTCCAATCTCAATGATAATTACTTTGGAGTCTACCAGGCTCAGGAGCTGTGGAATATTACAGAAAAATTGATGTACTCTATTGGGCCCACAGAATGGTAATGAGAATGTTGCTGTCACATGCATGAGTCCACAGATCACTCCGCTGAGCCATGACATGGCCATCATCTTCACACAAGCCCTCAGATTTACGATGACCTCATAACGTAAGGGCTGGCAGATGGCCACATAGCGATCATAGGACATCACTGTAAGGATGGCTACCTCAGTAGTTGCCAAGTCCATGAAAAAGAAGGCTTGCAGAGCACACCCAAAGAAAGAAATGGAGGTGTCATGAGTCAAGGAACTGACAATAGATTTGGGAACTGTGACAGAGATGTAGCAAAAATCTAAGAAAGACAAGTTCCTCAAAAAGAAATACATTGGAGTTTGGAGGTGAACATCCAGAGCGGTAAGCATGATGATTAGGAGATTCCCTGTGAGAGCTGCCAGGTAAACTAGTGAAAATATAGCAGCATGTACGCTCTGCATCTCCCAGGAGTGTGAAAATCCCATAAGGAGAAATTCAGCAACTTCAGTTCTGTTATCATCATTTATGGTCATTCCATTTCCTCCTAAGGAGAGAGAAGAGTGGATTATAGACATATCAAGTATGGCTAGACCAAATGATATTTCTTAAGCAACTGAATTTGTGATAATTAAACAAAAAATTACTCATATGCATCTATGGATATTATATTTCTAAAGCTAAATCTCAATGACACAGCCTAACGCTTTATACAGAGCATATTCTCAACACATGCATCCTGGTATGTGAGGCGTATGGAAGAGGTACAAAAAAATGCAAAATAAAAAGGAATAATGAATGACAACAGTGAAATAATCAACAAAGAATATACATAGTATTGATAGAAGTATACATACTTGGGAAAAATGACTATTAGTATTATTCTCATATATTCAACATACATATTTATATTGAGGCATATTATTTGCTCCTTATGTGTTAAAGTATAGCATTGCAAATGTTTTGTCATAGTTCTCCTCAGTTTTGGTTAAAACAAAAGCAAAGTCCTACAGGTAATCTGAATAAGACTCTTTATTTCATAAATATCCAGTGAGATTATAGTCACAACCTTTCAAAAAATATCAGGAGACACTTGTTAAACACCTCACTTAATAGGCATAATGATAGACTCTTAGGGTAAAATGTTTCTTAAAAAGCCTTCTTGAATTCAAAACTTAATCAAATACAAAACCTAGTAAAGTAAGATACTATGTGGAGTCTGACATTATAAACAATAATACAACTGATAAGAAATACTGATAATGTAGTGCATCAGGAAAAGAGATTGGTCTTACTTTGTGATTTTACAGAAGAGTAGTAGAGAACCATTATCTCAGCAAGGTCGTGAGAAGTATTTTACCAAATGATTTTTAGATTGTAGTTTTTGAAGAGAGCCACACAGTAAAAAGCAGAGGGACAAAAGTATTTATGGTATGATTGTGATAGGGATATGGATACAGATTAGCTAGAAAATGTGCATTGAGGTCAGTCCAATCTTTTTGCTGGTCTTCAGAGTTCATCTTTAGTGTTGAGATAAAAAAATAGTATATTGAGTATGTATTAAGTGCATGGAAAAATGCTGAGTAATTTCTACAGTAATCTTTCATAGCATCTGTCACTCATTTTATATGTTTTCTTAAATTTTGGTTTGTTTTGCTGTAGTATAGTAAAATGCTATCTAAGTTTAGCTCCTAGACTTCTACAGTGTGTCAAGCAAACTCTGAAATGGATTTTTCCCTTATTAATTTATGTAGCAATAATTTATACACAACAAACTGTACCAATTCAAAGTTTGCAATTCAAGAAGTTTTGACAGTTGTATATGCCTATGAAACCGCCACCACAATCAGGGCGTATTATTTTCATTATATACAAAAGATTTCTTGCATTTTTTGTTATATAATCTCTCTCTCTCTCTCTCTCTCTCTCTCTCTCTCTCTCTCTCTCTCTCTCTGCCAGTTCTCACTCTAGGCCATCATTGATTTCCTTGTCTTTCTAAGGAAGGTCAACGATTAAGGAAGGGAAAGAAAACCAAGAAGGAATGAACTGAGTGTCTCTCTCCTGGAAAATCCTATATTTCTACTAGTTCTAGCTTCCTCACATTGGTTGCCTACACAGCCTGTTGTTGGAGGGACAGATGCAAACAAATGGAAAGAAAAATGTTTGCTGTTACCAAGCATAGGAATTAGCCTCCTTTGGGGAGTCTGTTTTGACTATATTCTCACATATTGAATATACATGTTTATATTAAAGCATATTGTTTGTTCCTTATGTGCTGAAGTATACCAACACTGCCTAATGTCTCTTCTATTCAAAAAAATTTAAGTGGATTATATAGTGATACTGATCAAAAGAGCAGATATTAAAGGACCATAATGTAAGGACTACTATGCAGAGTAGAGGAACAGCATTGGAACTGCCCGATTGATTATGAATTTTTAAAAATTTAGTCAATGCAAACATTTCAAAATGTGTACAGAACATCCCTTTGATTTAACACACACACCCTCCCATACACAGATCCCAAAACTGCCACCCATGAAAGGAAATACAGACTCATCCAACCCCACCACACACTGGGACTCATTAAGAAAACTCTCCCTTTTCTTTCACATGCTTTCATGCATATGCACTGCTCACTCTCAGATCCTAAACCACTATCACCCAAATAAAAGAAACGGGCATTTAGTCTAAAATTTATGGTACTTGATCTGTACATTAGCTAACAACCTGGTAAACAAATCCATAAGTGCAACCTATTAATTGAAAAATAAATAACCTTTCTAAGGTTTTCCAAAGTTACAGTATTGTACTTACTGCATGATGTGGGCTGATTTCTGCTGAACTGGGTCATTGAGCAACTTCAGTTATTCAAAATTTCAAATTCCTATTTCTTTGTCCCAGAAGAAACCTCAGTTTATCTGAAGATACATCAGATCAAATTGAAAAATGCCCTAATCTCACAATGTGGCTACAGCTCTTAAGTTGAGATGGCAAATATCTTTGTCTTCTCCCTGATCCAGAAATATAAACCTGATGAATACCACATCTGGTTTTCCTTTTGCTATGATTCAGTCTTTGTAATGAAATGGCGATTAATAACTGAGATATAATAAGAGAAGCTTTTTATAATTCTGAGGTCTCTGGAAATAAGATCCCTTGTATTTTAAATACATCCTTTGGGAACAAGAAGCAAAGCAGAGCTTTGATTAATTCCAGTGGCTACCAATAAAGAAAAGGCTCCTTTTTGGAGGATGTAGGATAAAAGAATTGGAATTAATTGAATAATAATCTTCCACACACCCAGAGACTCAATTAGATAGAACACTTATGCTGAGAGTGAAAGAAGTGGTCAATAATTACACTTGGACAACAGGCCTAAACCCAAACTGAGATTCTGGAACTAGATTTCTATTTTTAATATTTGCATTCTAATATTCTTCCCTAATGGGCATACTGTTACACCTTTCATGCCCTTCCTATCCCAAGTCAATTTAGTATATGAACACTAAATTTTTAACTGGAAAAACAATCTGTTACTCCTGTCTTAAGACCTTCCTGGGCACTGCATTGATAGCAAAGATAAAACATGCTGGCATGGCCTCAGTGCCTGACTCTTATCCAGCTCTGTGGCATTTGATGCTACTCCTCACTCCTACATGGATTGAGTGGCCATTGGATTGCCTCTTTTGTGGAGTGCTGTTCAAATATTGCCTCATTTAAAATTGGGTTTATTTTATTAGTATGCAGGAACTATTTTTATATTGTGAATGCTAATTCCTTGTTGATAAAATTAGTTGTAGATATCTTTTTCTGTTGGTAGTTTGACATTTCTCTTTATGGTATCTCTGATAAATAGAAATTGTTAATTTTAATGTAGTTTTTCTATGAATTCATCACTTTTGAGAACTTGGTTTAGTTTCTTATTTTTCTTATGTTGTTTAAGAAATTCTTCCATAAGAATAACATCAACAAGATGGGAGAATGGAACTTTCCAACTCTCATCTCATGGAGACATCAATTCAAACAACTATTTATGCATAAAAATACCTTCACAAGAGCTAAGGAAACCAGATGAGACACTGCAGCACCTGGGTGTAGCATGGAAGTATTTTTAAAAGATGCGATAAGGATCATAGAAAGGATAGTTCCAGATTACCTGCATCACCCCATTCCCAACCCCAGGTAGCAATATGTGGACAGAAATAACATCCGTGTAGGAAAAGAAAAGTAAAGTGAGCAACAGTTTGCTTCAGACCCCAACACCAGGCCCACCCTAGTAAAACCCAGCACCATGGCAGCCTCTGTGGCCCTAGTTTCAGGCTGCCCAGGCGAACTCAGTCTCCAGGCCTGCCCTACTGTCAAGACAGCCCCATTGACCCTAGGCTTCAGACTGCCCCCTGCACGAGGCCAGCCCCCACAGTCATAGGATTTAGGCCTTGCCCCATAAACAGACTGGCCAATCACCTGTAGTCACTGGCCCAGCACCCATAGACCCAGCCTCCAGGCCCACCTCAGTGCCAGGGTAGCCCCAACAGACACAGGCTACAGACCTGCCTGAGACTCCAAGCTTGTCCTACCACCAAACCAGTGTCATTGACCCCAGACTTCAGACTGCTCCAGTGCCAGTCCAGACCCTGTGGCCCCAGGGTTCAATCCCATCCCAGTGCCACACGGCACCTAAAGACTCAGTCTCCAGGCAGTCAGCCATGGCCTCACCCACCATGGCAGCACCAGCAGACCTTGTATCCAGGCTGGCCCCCACAGATATAGGCTGTAGGCCCACCTAGTGCCAGGCCAACATGTGTGAAACTAGCATCCACTTCTATCCAAGTGCCATGTCATCATCAACAAATACCAGTGCCAGGCTGGCCCCTGTGGTCAGAGGCTACAGGGCTACCCAGTGCCAGGCTGGCCTCTGTGGCACAAAACCCCAGACAAGCCAGGGTCCAGGTCTACTCTAGCAGACCCATCACGGTAGGGCCCAGCACCAGGCCAGCCCTCACAGTTAAAGCCTCCAGACCAGCACCTATATACTCAGCCTCCAGACTGACCCCATGGACCCAGGCTCATGGACCCTGTGAGCTCAGGACCCAGCAGACTCAAGATCATAGTAATATATGTATGGTAAGACATAGACTTAACACATTAAATGTAAATGGCTGTAATTATTAGGGAAAGATTGTAAAAACATACACAGATCTGGGATATAAGGGATCAAAATAAGTAATACTATACTCCCAACTACTTGGGAGGCTGAGGCAGAAGGATCTTTTGAACCCAAGAGTTTGAGGCTGCAGTGAGTTATGATCACACCACTGCACTCCAGCCTGGGCAACAGAGACTCTGTCTCAAAAATAAATAAAAAATAAAATAAAATGATAAATTAAAATAAAATAAAAGAGTGATATATACATATAATGGAATGCTATTTAGCCTTAGAAAAACAGGAAATTCTGTCATTTGCAACAATTGGATGAACTTAGAGGACATTGTCTTGAGTGAAATATGCCAGACACAGAGAGACAAATACCACATGATTTCACTTATATGTGGAATATAAAAAAGTGCGATTCCTACAAGTAGGGAGTAGAATGCTGGTCACCGGAGGCTGGAGGGGGGTGGGAGACAGGAAAAGGACGCAGAGTTTCAGTTAGATGGGAAGAGTAGGAGCTTCTTGTGATTTACTGCACAGCATGGTTACTATAGTTAATGATGAATATTTCAAAATATACAATTTGGAATTAAATTTTTAAAATTAATTTTCAAAAGAGAGGATTTAAATGTTTTAGATTTTAAATGTCGTCACCACCAAGAAATGATGAATATTGGAGGTGACAGGTATGTTACTCAGCCTGATTAATCATTTACTAGGTTGAATTCTGACTCTTACTTGACAACAAATGTTCACGGTTGGTGACAAACAGCTAAAGTCACTCAGTGCAGAAAATCAGTGCTGAGATTTCTGTCCACCTCCTTTGAATTCTAAATGACTTTTCAGGGAACAGTGGTCACAATTTCTCTGCTGTCTTCTCAGAAACACAATATATACAAGGTAAGGCACTTGTGGACAGTGGAATGGATTTTTAGGAGTACTTTTTCCCCCAAAAGGTAGCATAGTTATATCAAAGTTAAAAACTGAAGCATCTTTATATTATGTTATACATTTTAAAGAGATAAATCATAATAATAATAGCATATCTACTTTTTTGAATAACGTACTGTGTCAGGTACGATATAAATTTTTAATAGCATTATTGAAGATGATTTTGGAAAAACATTATGATACATGTAAGATTATATTTTCCATTTTATCAGTAAGGAAAAAGATGCTCGGAGTCGTCAAATGAATACAATTGCATCATACAGAATGTGTATTGTCTGCCCACAAAATCTAACCAACCGAAATACAGGCTCTTTCCTAGTCATTCCATTACCGATTTAGCAGCATACTTTTATGTGATCATAGCAATGCACTTGGTTTTGCCAAAAAAAAGGGGGGGGGCAAAAACATAGAAGATGGGTCATTAATTTTCTTTTTGTTTTTTTTTTTACAAGATTTATCCAAAATAGTATCTAATGACTTACTAGGACTTCAGACAATGTTATTATTAACCCAGAATACAGTCATTAGGTCCTGAGGATTTAACTAGATCTTGGTTATTGAAATTGAACTTTTGCATTTGATGGTGGTTTCTCACGCTTCGACATATGACCAATTTTGGTCCTCAAACTTTACTAAAATCTTTAAAACAGAATTACATTAATCATCACTGCTTCCCTGATTTTTGAAGTAACCTTTTCTATTCTTTTTAATTTTAGAATATTAAGAGGTTACAAATGTTTTTCTTACATGGCTTCAGTCAGGGCTATAAATGTGCCCGTCACCTGAAAGTGGTCATTGTATCTGTTAGGTGGGTTTATACCCCTCCTCTCCTCCCCTCTTCCCCCTGCTTGATAGCCAATGACTTTTACTTCCCTCTTTGAACTTCTGTGCCCATCGCTTAGTTCCAATTAATTAGAGAGCGCATGTGGTACTTGTTTTTTCATTCTTGAGATACTTCACTTAGGATGATGGTGTCCAATTCCATCTAAATTGTTGCAAAAGGCATTAATTCATCCTTTTCTAATGCTGAGTAGAACTCCATGGTATACATATACCACATTTTGTTAATCCACTTATGAATTGATGGGCACTTCAGTTGATCCCACATCTTAGCAATTCTGAATTGTGCTACAGTAAACATTCTAGTGCAGGTGTCTTTTTGATAAAATCACTTCTTTTCCTTTGTGTAAATAACCAGTAGTGGGATTACTGGATCAAATTGTAGGCCTGCATTTATTTCTTTGAGGAATCTCCATACTGTTTTCCACAGAGGTTGTACTAGTTTGCAGTCCCATTAACAGTATATAAGTGTTCCTTTCTCTCTTCATCCATACCAGCATCTACTGTTTTTGGACTTTTTGATAAAAACCATTCTACCATGGGTAAAATGATACTTCACTGAGGGTTTAATTAGCATTCCCCTGATGAATAGTGATGTTGGGAATTTTTTAATATGTTTGTTGGCTGTTTCTCTACCTTCTTTTGAAAAGCCTCCGTTCCCATATTTTGCTCACTTTTTAATGGGGTTGTTTTTTTCTTGCTAATTTGTTAGAGTTACATGTAGATTCTGTATATTATCCCTCTATTGGATGTGTAGATTGTGGCTATTTTCTCCCATTCTGTAGATTGTCTAGTTGCTCTGCTGATTATTTCCTTAGCTGTGCAGAAGCTTTTTAATTTAATTAAGTCCCACTGGTTTTTTTTTCTTTTATTTCAGCATATTATGGGGGTACAGATGTTTAGGTTAC